TCATTGGCTGCATATGCAGCATGAACCAATCAGCTTGTGCCAAGTCGTTTAACTCTCTGAATATCATCAGTTACATTAACAACCCGTCAGCCTGCGCCATCTAGAGTTTCATGACTAAACTATATATTTATGTTAAACTCCTTCTCTGGTATCCTTGCATGAATATTATGCAGAGGTCACCAGGTTTACATGAGTAAAAATATTACATATAGCATTGCACAGACAAGACAATAAGTGATTACACAAAATCTCAGGCTAGCTCATACAATGCATATGGTTATGATAATTCTATGTAAACTACATATGCCGTAGAGGAAGTAACAGTACAGTATGTATATATATAGAATTATATGTAGCCTAATTGCACCATAGAGTTCAGTTGTCTCCTAACTTGCAGTTCTGTCTCCATGACAACCATCATTTGAGGGATCTGTGCTTGGACAGATCTGGGTCTCTGTGAATGATAAAGCAAAACCTCATTCCTCAGCTGAAAATTTGATCACGTGATATAAACTCAGCAGTGCATTATGCAGATCCTCGCATAATGAAAAACATCACTCAAGGGGCCTGGGGTGATACTCATAACTCCCTCTTGTGGCAAAACACACAGTTAAAAAAGTCAACTGTGATCAAATGTGAGGATCACTGCAGGCTGTAAAGAAACCATACGCCTCACTTTCAGGTTGTGATTTCTGGCTTGTGTTCATATACCATTTGCATCTAGCGAATGAAGATACAATTGTGAATCTCTGTAAAAATTTACCAGTGCCTATTAACAATTCTGCAGTTTTGAAAAACCTCTATTTAAAGAGACGAGCGATTGCGACATAATTATAGCAAGTAACTGAACAGAATCACGCCTCTTATTGGCAGTTCTGTCTCCATGACAACGATTGAGTAATTTGTCACTGTACAAGCTCTAAATAATGGTTACAGTAAGTGTTGGGGTTATGAAATAACACTAATTAGACAGTGGGTTACAATAGCCAATCGTACATGATTGCTTTATTGTTGTCATGGTGAAGCATCGGAAATGAAAATCTCCTAATTACGTGGAGTTATTTGTGCACTTCATTACATATGTTGCTCTAACATTACTTGCCAAGTACATACAGGTTTCCAGTCTTCAAATACTTTTATAGAGAGAAATAAAGTGTAGAAGTGCATGCTATTCATTTAGTTATACAACAGTTCTTTCTGGTTCTCGAATCTGGTTGGCAGAGAGGTCTTTCCAAGCATTAGATATACACCCAATATGAACATGGGAACCATTTCTCCATTTGTATCACTCCACTTCATCGTGTGATATTGCTCGTATATATAATACATATGTTTATATTGTAAAATGGTAGCATTAAATAGGTTTAGAAATGGACTTTTAAAGGTGTTTTTAATCAAGTGCTTAAGCAAGAAACTCAAGGTTAAGGTTTGCAGCGCATTTCATGTTTTTCAAAAAGAGTTAACGTTTCAGGTTATTTCCTCTGTTAAATTGTTTACTTTGTCTTCTCAGACTTAGTTCAAAAATAAATGGTCCAAGTTAATTAAAAAAATGAATGTAGTAAGTGTGTATTGTGTGCCTTCATATAAAAATATGAATGTATCTGAAATATACAATGATGTTTCATCAGGGTGACAAGTCTCCTGTCCCCATATTGGGAGAAATCGGGAGTGCAGAGGCGTTGTGTGCGCTGTGTGAACATGATGTTACTGTAGTTCTAGACTAAATGTGAATGTGCATTAATTCATCCCACTCACAAAAAACAGATTTAGTATTCATCAAAATGAATTAAAACAGTGAAATGCAAACTCAGAATATGACGCAAACCTGCAATAATTAAATATGTTAAATAACACAAATGTATCTAATCCCATTTTATTAACCAATGTCTTTGCTGCTGACCTTTGCTGATCCAGTTCAACCATACTAATAAGCACAAATGACTTTAGAGAAACTAACAATTGTGCTTTGTTTTTTTTATTGCTGAAGAGTGTTTCTTCTCCTGCGTTCTACTGTACAGACGTGAATTTACTTTTCCTTCAGCCTGAGGTTTATTCATTACACTTTTTGGTGTGAAAGGGCTTTTATATTTGCTATAAATAGAACTTCTTATATTAAAAACAATCAAGTCCTGCTTATATTTAAAAAGTAACGCGAAAGTAACGCGAAAGTAATATAACGCATTACTTTCCATAAAAAGTAACTAAGTAACGTAATTAGTTACTTTTTTTAGGGAGTAACGCAATATTGTAATGCATTACTTTTAAAAGTAACTTTCCCCAACACTGTCAGGGCGATATTGTAATAAAATAAGAAAATACCTTTACACCTTCTAAAATAAATTTGTTGTATTTGTAATTCTTTTTCTGACATTTAGTAATAAAAAAATAGACAAGTGACTCAAAAGAGGTTTATTTAATGGAAACCAGTCAGCATCGTGTTATTTCAGTGTATCTCTAAAGCAGTCCAAACCACTTTTCTCAAAAATCACAAGTGTTACATATACATGTACATCACCAGCGGTTGTTATGAACTGCATAAATGCCACGTCATGTTAGCAGCCATTTCTATTACAGAGGAAAGAGTCCATCTTTAAGCAAAAATAATCTGTGAAGCTTTTTTTCAACATGATTAAAATGTTTAAAAATGTAAAGTTCCATTTTGAGAAATGTTAAAAATGTTATCAAAGTTCTCTCAATCTAAACATCACATCTAGTGAACATTAGGGAATCTGAGGGAATGATCATCTCATACTATCCTCCATTGTTCAAGCAGGCGGATGCTCTCAGATTACAGTGATTGTTGTTCCATGTAATTCGTGTGTTATCAATTTGCATTTGGAGGCAATTTCTCATGGAGAGATTGACAGATTAACAATGAGAAACGCTGCTATCAAAGTCCAAACAAAATAAATAGATTGAAGCATTTTACTTTTACCAACTTGTGCGCTATATACACTGGCATCCCCTCAGTAGTCTCTAAATATACACCCCCTCAGAAGGCAGCATCATGTAATTCCACCTCTGAGTCTAAACCAAATCTGTGGAACAAGGCATTAACAGGAACCCATTCTTCTAGAATATTTCCATTGCCATAAACTCCTATTAGGATGTTTGGGTTAAGACTGATCCCATCACTGAAACTGTAATGAATATCAGGTTAGATATAGAAATAAAAATAACCCAAAGCACAGCTGGTCATCAAATATATCATTACATCACTTTAGAGAGGATTTAAATAGGTAGTGCTTGAAAATAAGGGAACTTTGTCAAAAAAGAATGTGCTGCGAACAATTCAGTTTGGCAAAGTGAACTGGAATGAGAACTACGAGACCTTGCAATGTTCATATTGCTTGGAGAGCATGGACAATAAAGTGCATCATTCGTGAATTGCAAACAGCCTGACATATAGTGGTTAACTGGCAGAAGTGCAGTAAACCATCAACCAGTTTTGCCAAAACAATGACACATGGAGTGGAGCGGTGAGGGACAGGGTGATGTGTTACACTATCAGGCTCAGCTCTAGCCTCCCAAAGGGGTATTCAGACTGTACTCATGCAGAGCAGTAGTGTTTTCTCCACAATCCACATACTGGTACATCTCCTGAGACACCTGCTCAGCATGGCCAAAGTACACGGTAGTGACAGTTATCCTGCAAAGCAACAAGCCAAGTTAGTAACAAGTAAACCAAGCTCATTAACCTGATTGCACAACAATTACTCGAACCTGCTTTTCCTGCGTGAGCACCATTGCTGAACATGTTTTGTGTCCATAGTGTTAAGACATATGCTTATTTAATTTATTTTATAAATCTACTTATAAATAATTTATACATTTATAAATGTATTGTTAAATATTTCCATTCCATTTAATTTAAAGGGGTCATATGATGCTGCTAAAAAGAACATTATTTGTGTATTTGGTATAATGAAATGTGTTTATGCGGTTTAAGGTTAAAAAAACACATTATTTTCCACATACTGTACATTATTGTTTCTCCTCTATGCCCCGCCTTTCTGAAACGCGTTGATTTTTACAAAGCTCATCGGTCTGAAAAGCGAGGTGTGCTCTGATTGGCCAGCTATCCAGTGCGTTGTGATTGGCCGAATACATCAAGCGCGTGACGAAAATGTTACGCCCCTTGCCATATTGTGATGATGCCCTGTCAGGCCGGAGCGATGATTCAAAAACATGAAAACCCATTACAAACGAGGCATTTGTAGCATCCAGTGGGGACATAATTAC